AGAAGCTTGGTTGTGTCTTACAACGGCTTGACTTAGCTGAGGAATATAATGCCCTGACACAAGATAGATAGATATATACACACACACACATATATATATATATATATATATAAATCTCTCACCACTGTAAGTGAAACGAACAAGCAAGTCACAGTGACAAAAAAGTTTTACCTCCATAGCTCTCCCCAGCTATATAAAAGTCTCTCTCTTTGTACTTGGGAAAGCGATCTAACCATTTCAGCAGAAATTTCAGAGAATCTTGGGCTGCAAATTCGCAATTGTCACAGCTAAAACGCCGAAACACAGAACGCGGATCTCATTCTAACGCAGTTTGATTAACCAAGGACACTGGAAAACATTACCGGTCCTCTTATCACCATTGGTGAGCAAATCAGAGGAAGTGTTTGAGTACGAAAATCCAACTCCCACAGGCATGTCAAGGAACAGAACGTTGGCAACTGCAGAAGACAAGACACGAGCAAGCTCTTAGATTCTGAAGCACAATCGCAACAACAATAGTATACAGAACACAGTAGCTCGCTTCTTACCTTGGTTCCAAGAATATGGGTTAAGGTAGAGGGTCTTCCCATCTGGTTTAATGTGAAACGGCCCTATCTCTTCTGCTAGGCCATACCCAATGGATGAACATCCCGGTCCTAAAGAGGCATAATTCGACGTTAACTCAGGGATCGAATGCTATCAGATTCAAGGAGTAACGGGATATTCATTCGTTTCTTAGGTCTCCAAGGAATAAGAACACAGTTTTCCATAGTTATGGTGAATCTAAAAGGATAAAGGAGCCGTCACACGTGAGAATATTCAATAAAGCAACAACGGACAGGAATCAAGCAAATATAGTAGAATCCACTGAACAGTAACAAAAAGTAGCCACTAAAGATTGTTGCTTTTTCCATAAATAGAATCGTGAAGGACCAACCAAGTTCGAGTCCCCACCTGGTGGGGTTAAGTCAACGTGATAGATTCATGGATTCATCGGCAAAAGGATAAGGCAGAAATGTGATAAAGTTAGGGTTTTTCTCTGCAAACCTCCATTGAGCCAGAGAAGAAGAGGCTTGGAATCAGGATCCTCAACAGCTTCGAAGAACCAGTAGAACAGAGCTCTTCCCGATTTCTCATGGACAGTGACGTACCCAGAATAGTGAGCGAAGCTAACATTGAAACCCTGACCCGGCAATTTCGAAACCCTGTCCTGTTCTTGTCGGGACGACAAGGCGCAGTTACCCAGATGAGCATTCGCCAAGAGGGTAAAGAAGATTAGGGCGGGAAGAAAACAGGTCGCTCTGGTTTTCCCCATGATTGACCCACCCACTACTGCAACAATGGAGACAATGTTTCCTGCGATTTTAAAGGAGTGGATTAGGACATGTGGGGTGACGCAGAAGCTGAGCAAGCACGATAATCATATGCCCAGAGAGAGATAGATGCTTCTGTTCCACTCATTAGCGTTTTGTTTCGGTTTTTTGCCGCGAAACGCGGTTAAGTCGAACCGTCGAATGGGACAAATAATCTAAGGCCGTGTTTGTCTTTTTGTGCAAACGCAGACGCAGGTTTTGGGAAATAAAAACTGCTGTTTAGTGTTTACGGTTTACCCATAATATCCACAAGGACCACAACCCAAATCATTATACGTAGTTCTTTCACGGAAGGAGACATTTAATACAGTGTTCTTATTGAATATTCTTTTTTCTTTTTTTTTTAAAGTTCTTATCATCTAAATATAGTTGATATGATAATATATATGCATATATATACACACACTTTAACTTTATGACAAAATATAGAACTGTTTCTAATTTCAAAGATTATATTATTTTGTCATTTCCAAATCTTCTATATATAATTGATATGATAATAACTCTTTTCTATCATTGGTATTTTTTGTATAGAAAAATAAAGAACGAATTCCATTATTATAAATTTATTTTTTGTCGAAGACATATATATATATTCGATTCTGTATTTTGGAATTTTACAAAAAGTTTCTAATTTTTTTTTTATCTTATATATAATTGATATGACAATATACACGTGTTTCTATCTTCTATATTTTCATTTAACGCGAAGAAAAGTAATAATAATTTTGTATTTGGTAATTCTCGAAATTTTCAAATTCATTCTTTATTTTTTTTTCTTATATCTAAATGTAGTTGACATACGTACGTGTGTGTGTATATATCTTTGATATTTTCATTTGATGGAAAAAGAAAGAATGATTTCCAAAAATTATAAATATAGTTTATTAGAAAAATTATAATACATATATATATATATATTATTCTCATGTTTTTCCATAATTATTTTGTCCTTCTTTTATACATATTCTATCTTTTAAGATATTTTATTTTACATGGAGTTTTTAACATAATTTTTTTATTTATTCTTACGGTTACACTCCGCGAATTCATCAGAAAATCTGTATTTCTAAACTTAAATATTTGGATAGGCAAAGAATATATATAAGAGTGGTTGGCTTCAAACGCGTTTATTTCCCAAACGCGAGATGTAACAAACTTAAAAGGATCTTTAACTCAACAAGGTTTTAGGCGCGACGTTATGAGACGCGGCTGAACGCGGGCGTTTGCGTTGGGACTCATCCGATGAATCATGAATGCGTAAACCTGCAGCTGAAGCAAATTGCAAGTGTCTTGGACCACAAATCTTGGCCCGAAGCTTTGTTCCCAACATTTTTCACATTCTCCAATATAATTTAATATTTTAATTAAGAAAATTAAATAAAATGATCCACGTGAATCGAACACCGACCATCCAAATTTCAACAGGGCTTGTTGACTCAGAACAATTTTTTATTCAAATGTTTAGTTAGATCTCTCAGAAATCGATTTTGCATTTTACAAGTAGATTATGAATTCAACTTAGCCAACGAAAATATTTAGATCTTGATATATAAATTAATTCCAATATAAAATATTGAAAAATTGATATAAACTAAAAATATTTTTTTATAAAACTAAATATATACTTTTCTGAATAAAATTCATACACTACAATTAGGGATGATTTATTTATATTTCGGTTCAAATATATTTTGGTGCGATTATTTTGATTTTAGAAAACTATAATTGCTCTGTTTTTCATATTGAATATAGATCAATTTAAATATAATAAAAATACTCATTTAAAAAATTGATTCTTAATTATTTTTAGGGGAAATCACCATAAAAACCTTGTACTCTTCCCAGGTCAACGAGAAAACCCTATACTTTTTTGCTTACCAATTAAATCCTATACTTGGTATGATTAACCAATAAA